AGTCAGCGGATTTGTTTATGGGAGGTGGTCTTATTAGATTGAACCATAAGATTGAGGAGAGCAATCGTGGATAATGGATAGTCGAAAGGATGTTTGATCTCTAGGAATCTAGAACAAGGAGGCACAGGTTAAAAATACCGGATTACCCAAACAAGATGGAGTTGAGAATCATGATCAAATTAGATCATGGAGGCTCAGGTTGAGAGACCAACTTCTATTCCTTAAGTTATGAATTCATTCTAATTTTATCTTTTAGGTATTATATGAATCTTTGTCAAGGCGTTCGTGAAGGACCCACAGGCTGCCCTTCTTATGCTAGCATGTGCAGAAGGAATAAAAATGGTAAAACCGACATATTAGGGCTGGTTCACACCCAAAAAATTGACATTCGAGGTATGATGTCTGATCACTTATCTTAATATGGTGTAATGCAAGTAACTATTGACAAATGATTCAATAATTTATTTCTAAAGAGATGTACTGTTAATAGGATATCTAGTCTGGATAGGTTAGCTTACTTGTGATAGTCAGCTTCTTCTGGATCTGTTTAACATTGTATTGCCTTGGTTTAGTTAAAATCCAACATCTGGCATGTGAATGTGCACTGCCTCTTAGTGTAGTCACAAAGTACGGTATTATTGCCCTGACCTAAATATGATCTGCACGCAGTGTGGTTTCTCTGAGAAACGTGCTTGTTGACGATGCAGACTGTTTAGAAGCTCATACAGGAAAGATATGTATAATATTTTATTCCCCTTCTTTTGCTTGCTTTTATGTAAATATCATTTTCTTCCCTTTTGACTGTCCTGGAGTACAACTTAAGACAAATGCCCAAGTCTGCACTCATGCAAACAGAAAACGTCACTTCCTTAACTTAGCCAACCCTGAACTACAGAGAATTTTACACTATTCTGTTGTAAGGATGGTTTTGCATAATTTTGCAACGGTCAATGTTTTATTTGTCCTCTTTTACATTTTAGGAAGAAGAATTTAGGAAGAATTTAATGTATACGACATGATTTGCAGTTTAGCAAAATTTTTATTAATTTCCTAAATGTCTTTACGTCACACCAAGTTCAGCGTTTTAGTTTGATCCCAGAGGCCATTGTTATATCCCATATGTGCCTGTAGACAGTATTGCATTAACCAAGTTTCATAGCTTTATGTATTTCCAAAAAAAGCATAATTTTGAAACTTCTAAGAAATGGTATCACTGGTAAGTTTCAGGATTTTGATCAAAGAATGTTACCTTCTATTATATACTCTGTAGGGTTAAATGTGCAGAAGCTCTTTGCTTAAGCTAAATATAATGAACAAATTGTTGGTTTCTCTGGTTGTCTGGTCTGTCACCTAGCCATGTCAGTTAGCTGAGTTCAGTTGCCCAGTTCTCTAGCCATGGGAGTATTTGGAACCAAAAATAATGGGACCTACGTTCATGTTCTTGACAATGTCCAGCAGTTTCATGATATGTTGGCAAATAGACAAATGCACACTGTAACATGAAGAATATTTTGCTTGCTAATTCTAAAAGCTTTCATCTTCGTCATTTATTTCCAGGTGGGCATCTTTTTGTGAATTATTCAAGTGGTTATTTCATCTGTGGTACAGGAAAACATGCAAAGACAACTGTACACATGCAATGTTCACCAACAAGTGGAGCACCAGAGCTGGAAAGGTGAGATCCATTTTCCCATTCTTTGAAGTATTATGGAAGTCTGGTGTCTTGTACAATTGGGATCTGTATGATTCCATAGATCACTGACATGGCTGAAATACTGGAAAAGCAGACAAAGGCAGGAAAAAGGGAAGGGTGATATATTTGGGCAGAGAAAAGTCTAGGTTATACTTACACATCCCAGAAATCGAGACTAGGCACTATTTGCCCATTCACCCTGAGAAGGGTAGAGCTACCACCCCTATAGAGATATTGAAAACTTCCCATCAAAATGTTTCCAGTACGTTTTGTGAGTGTTCACTTGAATTGGAATTCAACATTAGTTAGTGTTGAATGATCCCTGTATATTTTTCCTAAAACTAATTAATGCCTGTTGACTGTATGTTACCAACTTGAAATTAAATTTTGTCTAAAATACATTCGGGCCCCAAGAATTGTTTTGTCAGGTGTGCATGTGTAACTAGTTTGATTTTGAAGGAAATTTTAAAGGAAGTACATTGACTTGAGAAGGCAGCTCATCAACACCTTCTCCAGAGCAATTCGGGGTGGGCAGCTTATGTTGGCCAAGTAGGCAACATCTGCATCTCCTTGAATGAATTAAAAACATTTTGGAGTTGAGAAACAAAATATTCTAACTGTGCCAGCATATTTTAATCTTTTGGGTTCAAAAATCATTGAATGTTGTCCAAAAATTTATTTTGCATATCTGCATCCTCCTGAATTGTGCATTATGTAAATTCTTGATCATTGTTTCAAATAGTGTACATATCTGGCCAATATGACATCTGTTATGGTTATTCTTTCCAGCTTTGATGAAAAGGAGTGCGAGTTTTTAATTGTATGGGAGACCCGTGCAGCTTGTGCTGTGAAACCTCAAGAGGTTTACATGGTAAATGCAACCATTACAAGTCCAACAAATGGCCAAAGAGTCAATTTGTCAGCTATTTATTCTAAGTAAGTGTTGTACATTTTGATTAAGTTTTGTATATTTAATTCAACTTGCATTTGTGCACATGAATAAACATAGTTTGCCAGCAACAAAAACAGAAACTGCTGGGAAACCTCAGCAGGTCTGACAGCATCTGTGAAGAGAAATCAGAGTTACCATTTCGGATCCTGTGACCTTTCTTCAGAACTTTGCCAGCAGTTGCTGTGGAGAAGACCTGTTTTAACATGTTACAGCGCCTCCTTTAAAACAGGCTAAATTTCTAAACTGTGAAAGATGTGCTTTTAAAAAATGTTCTTTATCCAGATAAGCTTCTATAAGCATTCAAATTATTGGAATGAAATATAACTCTGAACGGTACAGTTAACTTTCCATGTTACTTCACCATTCATGGAACTGCTTTATTTTGACAGATTTGATTTTGCTAATTTACAGTCCTTGGATTTCACATTTGCAACTCTGAATTATACTAATTCATCATTTTGCTGTTAATTTTTGCTGTCTTTGCAGGTTGTACAAAGCTTCAGGTGATATTAGATCAAATGGCGACTCCTATATCTATGATATCCAGCTTTCTGGGATCTTGAATCCAGAAGATCTCAAATGCCAAGACTCCAATATCTGTCAGGTCAAAACTAACCAACCCTATTTCAGATCCATTGGGGTAGCTTCTGAAGCAAAATATTACCTTGAAGGTAAATGCCACATGCAATAATTTTGTTTTCCTCAAAAGCTTGTTTCCTGAAGATCAATTGTTACCATTGATGGTCAGAAATGATCTTGACATCATCATATAAGCAGTATTTATTTAAACTTGCTGAACTTTTTCTGGAAAGCTTTCAGTTTATAAAATATGCAAACTTTTGCAATATCTGTGACTGCACTTTGGTTCAGCACATCATCCAAAAGCGTGCACCTCTAACGTCCATTGAATTGTCAGTGTGCTAGGGTAGATGTAAAACATCTAATGCACTCTAAGAGCATAGGAGTCCTCCAAAGTGTCATGGCCAATATCTGTCCCTCAAATGATGATGTTAAAATAAAATTAAAATTAGTCAGCCATTGGCACAATCCTGTTTGCTGAAATGTGCAGTGTGTAAACTGACTGCTGTGTTCCCTGTGTTGCAACAGTGATTAAATCTCAAAATTACTTGATTAGCTTTGAGAGGGGATTAGCCTGTTATTTTTGTTTTCACTTTGAGAGAGAACAAACAGCTGAAATAGATTGCTTTATAGATTGCTTTAAAGGAATGTTTTTTTTTAAAAATCAAACCACGCCGGATGCAACAAATCCTAAATTAAGTAACAAAGTTGAAGGACTATTCAACGTACTACTTGCTGTAACTGCTAGAATAATGGCAAATAGGTTGAGATTAAAAATTGAAAGCTATAGTCAGAAACAAAGTATGGATGATGGGAGTGAAGTAAAAGGAAGTTGAGGAGCACAGCAGAACTAAAAGGTATTTCACTAGAAATGTACTTCTGAAATGTACATGGGCTTGATGTAACATGTTAGAATTAGCATTAATATTACCACATAAATTCATTTATAAAGTTTGAGTGACCACAGATCAGGAGCTAATATAAAAGTGCTGGAAAAACGGAGGTCTGGCAATATGTGAAGAATGAAACAGTTCAGATTAAGGGCTGAATTTGACCAAAAATTGGTTGTGTAATTTTCAGGGAATTTCATGGAGGGTTTCGTGTACTCCGCTCTAGTGAGAGATCCCACGTAATTCCTTGCAACTAATCTCTCAATGTATCTATGCTTCCATGCTTCTGTGGCACCCCAGGCATGTTATCGTGCACTCAGCAATGGCAGAAGTACTCAGTACTGCCAGATTTTGCCAGGACCTCTTGAGATTCCTGCCCCTGACACTGTAAGTAAAACCCAGCTGTGCATCAGGTTAAAGCACTACCAACCAGGAGATCTCCTTTGCACTGCACATATGGGAGGGGGATGAATAAGGAAGCTTCTGAGGAGACATAGATGGAACAGATGACACTTTGTTGCAAGTACAAGGTCACATTTGTAAATTTATTTGACTTTGACATCACCTGTCTGGTCACCTGCCATTGTAAGTGCAGCCACAAGAATTGAGCTACACAGATTACCTGTCCTTGAAAATATTCACTTTGCTTTTGCTGTTGTTAGATAAACGAAATAACAAAAATCTGTGTTTGCTTATGGGAGCAGACAAAAACTGTGTTTGTTTGCCTTTTAAGCAATAAAAATTTACAGTCAATGAATAATCTCTGATGTGAAGCTGATGTTCCTTCTGCTCAGTGTCCTCATTTTCCTTCTCTGAAGACTACTGCCACTCCCAACTCTTCACCCATCACCTCCCCTCCCTGCTTGGTTCAGGTGTACCTAGCACAACATGCTAGGATTTATTCATTCACGAGATGAGGGCATTGCTAGCTAGGCCAGAGGGCAGTTAAGAGCCAACCATATTGCTGCAGGTGTAGAATCACATGTAGTCCAGACCAGGTAAGGATAGCAGTTTCTTCCCTAAAGGACATTAGTGAACCAGATGGGTTTTTCCAACAATCGACAATGGTGGTCATTAATTCCAGCTTTTTATTGAAATCAAATTCCACCATCTGCTGTGGCAGGATTCGAACCTAGGTTTCCAGAATGTTATCTGGGTCTCTGGATTAACAGTTCAGCAATAATATCACTAGGCTATTGCCTCGCTCTGAGTCATAGAACAGAAACAGACCCTTTGCTCCAACTTGTCCATGCTGACCAAGTTTCCCAAACTAAAGTCCCATTTGGCCCATATCCCTCTTAAACCTTTCCTGTTTATGTACCTGTCCAAATGTCATTTGAATGTTGTAACTATGCCTGCATCTTGTTGTCTATAACTTTTAACAGTGTACTATTCTCCTTAACTGGGGGGGTGTTTCTTGCCTGCATTTGTGTATGTGGGTGCGTGATTGATAGTAACATTAGATTTTTGGAATAAAAGCATGAATATAGAGTCCTCTGTTTAAATCCACAAAGATCTTTGTTAGTTTTTTAATTGTCCATGCACTTGAAGGTTAAGAAGCAAGCTCATCATCCTTTTTGAAAGCACATTCATCACGGAAAATAGAGAATGGAACAGGGATTTCATTAGTTCTCTCACCTTGTCCATAGCGTCCTTCATTGGGTCCGATATTTGCAAGCAATGTATTAAAGAAGGTAGTGATATTTGCTAAAGTAACTCCTTTCTAAAGCCTGCAACAATTTTGTGGTTTAAGAATACTGATGGGTATCATGTTTTCTAATCAATTCTGGCTTTATCCAAGTGTTGATGCTGTAATTCCCCTTGTCAAACATCTCAATAGTAAAACCTTCTAATTATACCTGAATTGAATGTTTCTTTTCATTGCCCTCACCCTTTGAATTGAAATTGTTCTTCACCTCTAAATCCTCATGTTAGCATTTTCCTTTGTTTATTGTAGCATGATCACTAACAGCATTTCCAACACAGGTGACCTTTTATAATATGGAGGCCTTTATTGATGTTGTAGTGTGGTTTTACATTTCTGTTCACTTCTGTTTCTAGATGATGACCTGGATGTAGTTTTCTCTTCTAACTCTGTGTGCGGCCGCGACAAATCCAAGAATGTCTCTTCCACCATAATACTGCACTGTAGTGAATCAGCAGGGGAAGGGAAACCAGACTTCCTTCATGAAACTTCAGACTGCCAGTATCTGTTTACCTGGTACACATCAACAGTCTGTGCACTAACGTGAGTTTCTCCTGTTACTTATAGCACTAAGTGGCAGAAGACTGATTTCTTTCAGTTTTTCTGCTTCTGCATTTTTGTGATTGCTGAACTTTTATAAGCACTAGACTAACATCCAGCTTCAAATGTTGAAAATTCTGTGGAAGCTTTCAAAGCTTCTAAACTTAATCTCTCTCAATATGTATTTTTGTTTGAGAATGTTTTTGCAAAAGCATATGCATTCATTTCACAAGATCAAGTTAAAGTCTGCTCCTTCAAGAGTGTATTTCATTTTGGATATTAAAATGTGTTTTGTAATACGTAAAACACTGGCTATAACTGGGAAGACAAAAAAAGTCTATTGGAAACACATTCTGACTGATCTATATATAATAACTAAGGCGTCAGAAGAAAGGCATTAACAAATTAGTGTGTGCAGTTGGCCATGTGCAAATAGAGGATTGCTGCTTGCAAACAGAAATCTTTCTCGTAAAATAAAACCTCCAAATTTAATGACCCAAAAAGTACAAATTTGACCCTTTGTTTAGATGAAGAAACAAAGTAAAAGTCTTGTACAAATAATAAAATACATAAGTAAAGTGTATAATGGGAAACAAGGAGGTCGTGGAGTTGATGGCCCCTCGCATTCCATACTTTGACCCTTAGGAAAGCTAAATCTGCACAATTGAAAGCTTGTTAAATACCTGATGGATTGAAGTTGAATCACAAATGGTAATGTAACACAGCTCTCAATCCCTACATGATGATAAGCAACAGAATAATGCCAGTAGAATACAAAGCATGAGACTTTTGCTTTCCAGAGGAAATTATCAATTTGTTTGCTTAACATCTTCACACTGACGCACTAATAGTGCTTGCATGTACTGCATTCAATTTTAGTCAAGCTGTGAGTTCAAGTCACACTCCATATAAATCTAGGCAGGCATTCCAGTGCAGTGCTAAGTGCCTTATAGAATCAGAGTGATACAGCACGGAAACAGCCACTTCAGTCCAACCAGTCCCTGCCAAACATAATTCCAAACTAAACTAGTCCCACCTACCTGCTCCTGGCCAATATCCCTCCAAACTTTTCCTATTCATTAACTTTTTCCATTGTAATTGTAACTGCATCCACCGCTTCAAGAAGTTTATTGTTGGAAGTGCCACCTTTCAATCTAATCAATCAAAGGCATGCCTGACTCCTGAAATGTTCTTAAGAGATCTCATGCCACTATTTAATTATAGGCAGGTCAGTTCTCCCTTGGAACCTGTCCAATATTTCTTCCAAAACCTAGCATCACCCTCCCAAACACTAACATCACAAGAGGGGTATCTGGCCAGTTTTGCGTTTTTATTTGGGGGAGCTTTCTATTTACAATTTGTCTGCTGCATTTCTTACATTACAACAGTGAGTACCTTTTGAACAGTACTTTGAATATAAACTGCTTCAAACATTTTAGGGTATGGAAGGTGCTATGTAAATGCAAGTTTTTTTCCCTTTTAGCGCTTTGAGTCTACTGATGTACTTCAGCACTAAAAAGACTGAAGTATAAGGCAAAGTGCTTGCATGAATTGATAGGGTTGGCCTTGTAGTTTGCAAGAGTTATTTTTTGAAGAGAATTTTATAATGTAAATATGCAAAGAAAGTGTAGATGAGGAACTTTTACAGTCAACAGTTGAGAAGTCTTGCTGTTTAAGTGCAGATTGTCTCATTTATTTTTCCGCTGTTTTCTGCAGGTCAGTCAATCCTGCGATTTCAGATGATAAGTCGCAGAATGGAGACAATGTCAAAGGTTTGTCCAGAAGAAGCAGAGCTGTGGGAGCACTGCTTAGTGTGTTATTGGTGGTACTGACTGCCTGCCTCCTCATCTTATTATTTTACAAGCAAGAAAGAAGGTATGAAAAAAATGATCAATTTTATTTTAAATAGAACATGACACTGTCCCTCTCCTACTTGCCAGGCTCATTTTAAAAGATAAGTAGATTAAAGACAGTAAAATACAGTAGTCTCCATTTGTGTTCACCCTGGATGGTACTTCTAGGTACTTCAGTACCCCATCTCTCATACATTAACTGTCCAAGAAAAGAATGCGGAGGGGGAGAAATGACCAATTTAGGAAGATTGGAAATTAAGTTACGAAATTGGCTCCAGGGTAGGAGACAGAGGCTGGTGGTGGAAAGTTGCTTTTCCCACTAGAGGCTTGTGACTAGTCGTGTGCCGCAAGGATCAGTGCTGGGTCCACTGCTTTTTGTCATTTACATAAATGATTTGGATATGAATATAGGAGGTATGATTAGTAGGTTTGCAGATGACATCTTCACTTTCCACAACGCTACCAATTTTGAAGGTTACCACAGAGTACGACAGGACCTTGATCAATAGGGCTGATGGGCTGAGGAGTGGCAGATGGTGTTTAATCTAGATAACTGTGAGATGCTGCATTTTGGCTAGGCAAATCAGGGCAGGACTTGTACACTTAATCGTAAGGATTTGGGGAGTGTTGCTGAGTGCAGATTCACAGTTGCTTGAAAGTGGAGTCGCAGGTAGACAGGGTAGTGAAGAAGGCATTTGGTATACTTTTATCGGTCAGTGCATTGAGTATAGAAGCTGGAAGGTCCTGTTGTGCCTGTGCAGGACATTAGTTAGGCCACTTTTGGAACAATGTGTGCAGTTCTGGTCTCCCTGCTATAGGAAAGATGTTGTTAAACTTGAAACGGTTCAGGAAACATTTACAAGGATGTTGCTGGGTTGGAGGTTTGAGCTGTAAGGATAGGCTGAATAGGCTGGGGCTGTTTTCCCTGAAGCGTCGGAAGTTATAGTGTTGGACTTTTATACAAATTTACAAGATCGTGAGGGACGTGAATAGCCAAGGCTTTCCCCCCAGGTTGTGTGGCGGGGGTGGGGGTCCAAAACTAGACGGCGTAGGTTTAAAGTGAGAGGGAAAAAATTTAAAAGGAACCTAAGCAGCAACATTTTCACATAGGGGGTGGTGCGTGTGGAATGAGCTGCCAAGGGAAGTGATGGAGGCTGGTACAATTCCAACGTTTAAAAGGCATCTGGATGGGTATGAATTGGAAGGACTTAGAGGGATATGGACCAAATGCTGGCAAATGGGACTTTATTAAGTTAGAGTATCTGGTCAGCCTGGACGAGTTAGACAGAGGGTCTGTTTCTGTGCTGTATATCCCTGACTCTAAGTTGCAGGTGACCTATGATTATCCATGACTCGATTAGCTTTCATCAAATCCTCACTCCCATCACCCTTCTGTAGTAATGCTGCAAGACTCCCTCACTCAACCATGCTGAAACACTTTGTCAGAGACCACAATAAGAGCCAGAGTACATCTGTGCATTTCAACTACTAGAATGTGACAACACCAGAAGAAATACTTTGTTATCCAACTTGATTCTTAGCCTGCGTATCAGCAGTCAAAATAAGAGCCCTAGGTCTGTGTGGTGCCTGTAGGAGGGGAGTTTGATATTTTTGTCTAAAGATACTTCTTGAATTTTCAGGTTGTTTTTTTTTTATTGTCATTACTCATCATACAATCCTGTATTTGTACTCCCTTCTGTTGAACGATTTTAAAAATATTCTTCTTCATAGTTGCCCCCTCTTTCCCTCACCACTTTGGAAGCTGCCTCCCCAGTATAGCCCTACTAGTGAGCATTGCTGCTCTGCCGCCCTGTGCCCCACTCCAACCTCTTTCTGGCAGCCATTGCCTCCATACCATTCCATTGTAGTCTCTTTAATCAGCCCCAGCAAAAAGCTCTCCAAAGACTTACCAACTCACGTTTTTTGGCTTGCTGCTCCTCCAATCTTCCCTTTGTGAAATGAGACAAATATTTCACATACAGTCTTGAATAACTGAAGTACAGTCCTTTTTTTTGTGAACCCTATTGCCCAATTGATGCTTATTAGAGAATCGTTAGAAAGGAGGTCAGTTAGCTGGACACCTGATTTGTGAAGCAGAGTTAATGCCAACAGCATGTTCAATTCCTGCGCCAGCTGAGGTTGCCACAAAGGTCCTGCCTTCTCAACCTCTCCCCTTGCCTGAGGCATGGTGACCCTCCAGTTAAACCAACACCAGTTGTCTGCTTCTGAGAGAGCAACCTCTGGTCTGGTAGAACTATGGCAACTTTTATTAGAAAAGCATTTGATTCCTGTAACTGTCTTGAACTGTCTAGGAAATGCTAATGGCTGATTTTTTGACTAAATCAGTAATCAGTTCCTGGTCCAGTTTTCTCCCCCACCATTGTTAAATTTCTTCATTGCCTTGCCCCTCCTGTCTCTGTATTCTTTTTGTTTTTGCAAACCTTGAGTCTATTCCATTTCTGAACTCTTGCACGCTCCTGATTTTCATTACACTACTATTGGCAGCCATTCCTTCTGTTACCTCATACCTGAACTGTGTAATTTCTTCCCTTTACTTCGCCATTATTTGACGATCCTTAAAATCTAACCCTTTGACTATGTCCTTTGTCACTTAGCCATACATCTATGGATATGCGTGATGTCAAATTTTATTTGATAATGCTGCCATGAGACGGCTTGTTTTATTTTGTTAAATATGTTGTACAAATGCAAATTATAATAAAGCATGAAGCAACATCCCTATAGTTGTAGAATTAAAGATCCTGCATGAATATATTGTTGTCATTTTTCCACCTCCAACTTGTAACCTGTCTTTGAAAAATTCTGTACGTCTTTCTAGGGACTTTATTATGCAAAAAGTGACTGGCTGTTGCAGGAGAGGAGCTGGAGTTGCATACAAATACACAAAGGTAAAAGTTCCTAAACTTTCTTATATGGGGCATTGTGGTAGAAAGTAATAGTTAAGAATGAGTACAGAAGACAGTTGTAGCTATTATTTAAAGGTGTGCCCTTGAAATATATTAATTAGTAAATGGAAGTGCAAAGCCATTAAGGGTAACTGGATGGACAAGGGGTGGGATGGGGTTGCTATAATAAATTGGTGTGAAATGGGGAAGTTAATTTATCATCAATTGAATAATTGAAAGAGTTTGATCCATGTATCTCAAAGCATTTCAGATATTAGATTTTCAGTCTGGTACTGTTATGCAAACCAGAGATGTAACCAGTTTGTGCAGGAGGAAAATAGGGGGTAAAAAACAAAATATTTTGGATTAACAAGGTGTAGAGCTGGATGAACACGGCAGGCCAAGCAGCATCAGAGGAGCGGGAAGGCTGACGTTTCGGGCCTAGACCCTTCTTCAGAAATTT